CACCATCGGTTGTTATATAACGAGTTCTTCTCTTTTCCTCATCTTGCTTGAATCTGTTTTCTACAAATAAATGTATGAGATGTACGATAAGTAATGAATATATTAAAGATAATAAATCAAAATGGCTAAAATACAAACTCAATTGAAAAATTGGACTAGCGTAATGATTTATGCTAGGTCAAAATAGTCCAATTTTGCCCTATTTCCCAGTTAGCGTAAACCATTACGGTAGGCTAGAAATCATTACGCGAGTGGACAAAAGCTTTTACAGTACTACTCACGTGCACACATCATTCCCATTTTTGCCCTTGCTCTTCTTGGAATTCCATCCTTGTCCTTTAATTCTTTCCACTTTCACCCCATTCTAACACTTCTCTATGAAATTTCTTGCAATTCACTCCCCACTTTTCATTTTACCCCTATGGAAAAATATCTAGAAACTTCATTACTCATTTCAGCAGGCCCGTCTCCGCGGCGAAGACTTTTCCTTTGCCCTGGCAAAACTTACAGAGCGTACGTGCTGCGGCGAAGACTATTCCTCTCGCCGGCGAAGACTAAAATCCAATTCGCCAAGTCTTAACCAATTCGCAAACACTCAACCAAACCAAACATCACATTCAACCAGGGCAACCAACAAAAATACACATACCAACTCATTGGAACAAATCAATAAACATTCAAACAATAGAACAAAATTTAGCTACGCCGTAAGTGTGCGCTACAGTGATGAAAGATTTCCAGATTTTCCGTAACATCTTCGACGTGTCACAACTTCATCATTTCGACCCTGATTCTTGTGCCGTTTGTTCCTACACGTATCAACATCATTCTTTTCCCTTTAACAACCTGTTTGCACCTGAAAACACTCAACATGCACCCGTGATCCCATAAATGGTATTTATGAAAGAAATAATCCAAATTCCATACTTTAAGCACATTTTTCCATAAATAAACCCATTAAAACACTAACAAAATATAAACATTCAAGCTCTTATCAGGACGACCACTAGCTAATGCTAGGGTTTGTTAAGGGGTGAGGAAATTCAAGAGCAGTTTTTCATGTGTGGAATATTCATATTTGTCAAACTTTTGAGTTGTGTGTGTACACATCAATTCTTCGTGCACACCGGTTGCTAGACTTATGCCTTGGCTTAATTTGTTTCAAGTGTGTGTGCACAACAATTTGCGCTTACACTCTCGCTTCAGATATTTGCAACCCAACACGAGTTGCATGTCTGATAAAGTGAAAAAGATATTGTTTATCTTTGTCTCTTGCTTTTTAGGACCTTTTTACATATGTCATAATGGGAATAAAGTTATCTTTCCTGATTTATTTTATGGTCCAAACTAAAAGAAGGAATACTTTCTTTATTTGGACAAACATGGTTCAGCCCTTTGTTGGCTGACATGGCACTATAGTGTTGAACAAGAAACCTTTCATTATATAATGCTCTTTCTTGCGTATATGAATCTAACATTTTGATCTCTTATTTTATTGTACTCTAATATTTCTTAGAGTATTCTTTCTCTTAAGGTTCATAGGTTCATTTCTATTGTGTGCCAAAACATTACCATATCAAAATAGACTTGATGGCTTTTGGAACATGGTTCCTTTGCTGATGCTGGTGTGTGGTGTCGGTGGTTGAAGCTTGGTGGTTCACAAGCCGCTCACAGGTGTGTTCTGTAATAGCTCCTTTATACTAGGATACTCATAGAAAATACACATAATAAAATACATGTATAATAGCAAAAGTAGATGGGCCCAAAAATTTTTTGTTATTATATATAAACATTCTTTGTACAAAGTAGAGTATCATTTACAAAAAGGTCATCAAAAACAGTAGACAGTGTAGCTATTGCTCCTCGCTTGCTGACGTCTATTCGACCGTGTCCTCACCTAGATCCTGCAAACACGAAGAAAACAACGGGGTGAGCACAAATAATGCTCAGTAAGTAAATCCTCTACTTGTCTGTCCCCGTAACTCCTTCTCTTAATTCTTTCCTTACACTTTTCTCATCTTATTTATTTTCTATTTCTGTTTCTCTTTCACATAGCTCTTTTTCTGTTAACTTTCTGTTGTATGTCACAGCCTCATCTTATCGGAGGCACGGCCGTGTGGAGTCCACAAAGCACCAACCCACTCTTCGTGACTTCTACCCATTCTCTCTCTCTATTTTTTCTCACTTGAATGTCATGGCCTCATCATACCGGAGGCACGGCCGGGTGGAGTTCACAAAGCACCAGCCCACTCTTCGTGACTACCGGGTGGAGTTCACAAAGCACCAACCCAGTTTCCGTGACTGTCGAGTGGAGTTTACAAAGCACCAACCCACTCTTAGAGTTTTTCTCATTCTCTTTGCTCTTAAAGTAGCTCATTCACAAAGTTCTCTACTCTTTCTCAAAGTAGCTCATTCACAAAGTTCTTTACTCTTTCTCAAGCTACTTCTCAATGCACAATTAATGCATATGGATGGTTTATACTCATTAATGCACTCATGAAATGCCAATATGCAATGTTGCAAGAATTAAGGTTTACTACTCATGCTCATACTTCTCCTAGGCATTTCATCAAACAACTCATGTGCATACCAAAGCTCTACTTTATCTATAGCTCTACTCTTCTCTTGAACCATCCAAAATGGGAGAAAACTCCCTCACATAGCTATCATTCATGTCATAAAAGAACACTCCCAAAGAGATTTCTCAATCTCCTCCAATTTCATCTCAAACTACCTTCTCATCACATATCATGCAATCTCAACACTTCTCATAAATGAAGTGTATTCAACAACCACAAAGTAAATACTCATCTCAATTCAATTCTCAATAACATAGCATACACATGCATACATAAATCTCTACTCAAAAGAGTCCTTAAATCTCAATTTGGGTTGGATTTACTTACCTTGTAATGGAGAGATTTCACTAACATTTCTCCTTTCCTTTGATAGGTTGTCTCTTCTCTACAACTTTAAACAATAATACCATAAGACTTCAATATACATATATAAGCAAAACTTCACACCTAAAGCAAGAATCCTTACCTTAGGATGCCTTAGATTAACTTTCTACCCCAAACTACTCAAAAAGCCCTCTAAAATCCTTGAAAGATAGGATGAAGAGTTGAGAAAAAACAAGGAAATGGGAATGGCGGTGGAGAAGAAGAAAATGAAGGGTTTACTAAGCTTAATCCCTTTTTAGCTCATATTTTACACATGCATTCCCATTTTGCCCTTGCTCTTTCTTGGAAATTCCATCCTTGTCCTTTAATTCTTTACACTTTCACCCCCATTCTAAAACATTCTCTATGAAATTTCTTGCAATTCACTCCCCACTTTTTCATTTTACCCCTATGGAAAAATATCTAGAAACTTCATTACTCATTTCAGCAGGCCCGTCTCCGCGGCGAAGACTTTTCCTTTGCCCTGGCGAAAACTTACAGAGCGTACGTCGCTGCGGCGAAGACTATTCCTCGCCCCGGCGAAGACTAAAATTCCAAAATTCGCCAAGTCTTAACCAATTTCAGGGCAAACACTCAACCAAACCAAACATACATTCAACCAAGGGCCAACCAACAAAAAATAACAACATACCAACTCAATTGAGAACAAATCAATAAACATTCAAACAATAGAACAAAATTTAGCTACGTACCTTAAGTGGGGCGTTACATGTTCCCGGTGTGAAGAAGATCTGAAGAAGTTGCTACACGTTAAGGATCCAGAGTGTGGTGTTAAGTGTAAAGTTGAATAGGAAGTTCTTTTTACTGTAACTTAGATCAACTTTGAACATTATCTTGTAATGTGTTTTTGACTTAGTGGATTGCTTTGATCTGGACAAGGTCCCATGGATGTAGGCTAAAAGTGGATTTAGCCGAACCATATATATGGATGTGTTCTTTACTTTTGGCACTTGCGTTTGATGTGGTTAAAAACTGAAAATGTCTTAATCTATTTGGTAAATATTCCGCTGCACTTTAAAATGGGTAATCAAAAACCAAAGTGTTTAACCAATCCCCAACATCATGTACTAAATAATGTCAGTCTGTTGCATTTTCATGGACTAAGTTATTATGATTGCGGTGTTTTGATCTACTTATTTATTATGTTTGCAATTAACATGTTTATGCGCAATTCATCAATTACATTGATTCATTTGAAGTGAAACTAATACATATAAAACAAATGATATTTTTGATAAATAAGTCTACAACCAAACTAACACAATAACTCTCCATAGAATAACTCCACAACCATCTTAGTTCTAAGTAAACTACCATGCTCTCGTGCCTCCACCTTAGAATCCCCCTTGGTAATCTCTCGTAGGAGTACTGAATGTGTTAGTACTTTGATGAATCTAGAGATATCTAGCTCTAAGAATGGCCAAAAGCAGGCATTTTTAAACATCGCTTTTTGCTTCTTGTTCAGTGTCCATTGGATTTCTTGCATTGCATCCTTGTCACTCTGAACCATAACGATTGTTCTAAAATGCTTCGATTCGAGTATAACTCCGTTATCACCATCGGTTGTTATATAACGAGTTCTTCTCTTTTCCTCATCTTGCTTGTTTCTGTTTTCTACAAATAAATGTATGAGATGTACGATAAGTAATGAATATATTAAAGATAATAAATCAAAATGGCTAAAATACAAACTCAATTGAAAAATTGGACCAGCGTAGTGATTTATGCTAGGTCAAAATAGGCCAATTTTGCCCTATTTCCCAGTTAGCGTAAACCATTACGGTAGGCTAGAAATCATTACGCGAGTGGACAAAAGCTTTTACAGTACTACTCACGTGGTTCTCTATGCTGGGTTGGAAAAGGTATGAAATTACCTTTCACACCTAGCTTAAATAACGTGAGTAGCACAAAAATTTCTGCCATCGCGTAATATTTTATGCTAGGTCAGGAAGGGGCAATCTTGACCTTTCACAACTAGGTCAAGTTATTAATAAATCATAAAATGGACAGGGGGTGTTCTTGGTAGTTTTCATAGTTATGGGATGCAAAAATCAGTTTTTCGAGTTTCAGGGGGTCCAAGTTNTTCAATTTAATATGGCAGATTTTCAAGAAAAAGCCACGACACAAGCCTTTATGCTTTCTGATAAAAATGAGTCTGGCCAGGATACTATTGTTGTGTCCTTTAGAGGTACTGAAACTTTTGATGCAGACGCATGGAGTTCTGACTTTGATCTCTCTTGGTATGAGATCGATGGCATAGGCAAGATTCATGGTGGTTTCATGAAGGCTCTAGGTTTACTAAAGGTCAAAGGTTGGCCCAAAGATATCGATAAGGAAAAGGATAACCGCCCTGCGCCCTTAGCATACTATGCGATCAGGGATATGTTAAAAGAACTTTTAAGCAAAAATGACAGAGCAAAATACATAGTGACAGGCCACAGTTTAGGCGGTGCGTTGGCTATTCTCTTTGCAGCGATTTTGGCATTGCATGAGGAGACAGAGTTATTGGAGAGATTAGAGGGTGTTTACACATTTGGGCAACCCAGGGTAGGAGATGAAAAGTTTGTTGAGTTCATGAAAAAGAAGTTAAAAGAGAACGCCGTTAATTACATTAGGTTTGTTTACAGTTATGATATTGTGCCTAGGTTGCCTTTTGATAACTCTGAGCTAATGTTCAAACACTTTGGGCAGTGCATCTACTACAACAGCTTCTATCAGGGAAAGGTATGTATTTTCAATATCACCATCACATTAAAATGAATATTATTAACTGCACCAAACTTTAAAATTATTCAATAATTAATGAGTGCAAGTAAGTTTAAAATAGGTTTTTTTTCTAATCTTAAAATATCTAAACATGTGTCAAATTAATCTTAGATTAACTCATCAATGCGAGACTCAAACATTGAAAGGTGCTTTTAACGTACGCATGCAGGTAGTTGCAGAAGCTCCAAATAAGAACTACTTCTCACCATTGGAGACAATAATCATGATGATGAATGCAGTTTGGGAGCTGATAAGAAGCTTTACTTTATGGCTCACAAAGGGCCCGGACTATAAAGAAGGAGGGTTACTCAGAGTGTTTAGAGTAATCGGACTGATAGCCCCCGGTATATCAGCTCATTCTACCCAAGATTATGTCAACGCCACTCGCTTGGGATCCACGGATAATTTGTTCCACCCCAAGAGACTGTAATCCAATAATTAAAGGTTTCAATGAACTTTCATGTGATAATATGCAAATTATTAATAATCAATTCGTCTTGTTTGTTCCGAGTCTGTGCACTCTTGTCGAGTGCCGATGCCCGTTTTCTCTTCTCTGTTTAGTTTGAGCCTGCGAGCTTTACTAAAGCGTCTATGCCCATCTCTTTCTTTTGTTTGGAGCTTGCATGCTTTCTTTTGGGCGTTTGTTCCCATCCATATGTCTAAAAAGTTCTCTATTAATTATATTTTTATTCCTGTTACAATTCTGTTTTATAAGTACATATCAGGATATATTTTCTATACAGATTTTTCTCTTATAATTACGCTAACTGTATGAAGGAGATAATTTCTTTCCATCCAATTTCCTATAACTACTCTAATTCCTTTAATATACAACTCACGCCAACACTCCCCCTCAAGTTGATGCATACGGATCCTTCATGCGCAACTTGATCAGTGAGTTGTGGAAGTCTTTGCTGGACACGACTTTGGTAAGTATATCTGCAAGCTGGTCCTCAAATTTGACAAATGGGAATTGGATTATATTATTCTCTAGGTTATGTTTGATGAAGTGTCGATCAGCCTCTGCGTGCTTGGTTCGATCATGCTGAACCGGATTGTGTGAAATGTCTATAGCAGCTTTATTGTCACAAAAGAGGTTCATTTCAAACTTGGGAGCAAAACCAATCTCAAATAATAGTCTTTTCAACCAAAGGAGCTCACACAACCCTTTGACCATCCCACGAAACTCTGTCTCTGCACTCGAGAGTGCCACACCTTTTGTTTCTTGCTTCTCCATGTCACAAGGTTTCCACCTACAAATGTGAAATACCCTGACGTTGACTTCCTATCAGAGATGTTCCCAACCCAATCTACATCGGTATAGCCATCAACTTCCACATGATCATTCTTAGAAAACATGAGCCCTTTTCCTGGAGAAGACTTCAAGTACTTTAGTATCCGAATTACAGCCTCCATGTGTTCTTCACTTGGACAATGCATAAATTGACTCACTACACTCACAGCATAAGCAATATCTGGATGAGTATGAGAGAGATAAATTAGTTTTCCAACTAATTGTTGATATCTTCCCTTGTCAGTTGGTTTCTGGTTCGAATATACCCCAAGTTTATGATTTTGGACAATTAGGGTATCCATTGGTTTGCATTCCAACAATCTAACTTCAGATAATAAATCTAGGATATATTTTCTTTGGGATAAAAATATGCCTTGGGGTGATCTAGCAACTTCTATCCCAAGGAAATACTTGAGCCCACCTAGATTCTTCATTTTGAATTCGCTAGCCAACTGCCGTTGGAGCTGTGAGATTTCTTCAAGGTGTGGTCTGCATTGCTCTGTTGGAAACCGTACTTCTTCATTGCCAAGCTAAATCGCCCGAACCAAGCTCGTGGTCATTGTTTTAACCCATACAAGGCTCGTTGTAACTTACACACCTCATTAGTTCCTGTGGTCATTGAGTAGCCTGGAGGGATGTCCATATAAACCTTTTCTTCAAGCTCACCATGAAGAAAGACATTTTTCACGTCTAACTGATGTAGTGGCCATCCTAAATTTGCTACAAGAGATAGCAACACTCTAACAGTATTTAATTTTGCTACTGGTGAGAAAATATCTTGATAGTCTATACCATATGTTTGAGTGTACCCTTTTGCCACGAGTCTTGTCTTGTATCTTTCTATAGATCCGTCAGCTTTGTGTTTAATGGAAAACACCCACTTGCACCCCACTATTCTTTTTCCTTCCGGTAATGGCACTAGGTTCCATGTCTTGTTCTTTATTAGTGTCTCCATTTCATCTTTGATTGCCTAAGTCCATTTCGGGTCTTCTAAGGCTTCCTCCACCCATGTTGGAACATGACACACAGACAGGCTATGCACAAATGTCTTGAGAGGATCATTCAACTCCTTTGTGGACACATAATTGGCAATAGGGTATCTTGATCTTCTTTCCTCAATGTATGGTGAGTAGCGGCTTGGGGGCTTGCCACGATTTTGCCTAACATAACTAATAGGAGATGTCACAATATTTGTGTTAAAGGGGATTACCTCAAGATCGTTCTTAGGAGTTGGGTCTTCGGGTTCTGTAGAAGGGGAAGAAACATGCACTTCGTGATCATTTTCATGGTGTTCAGTAGCTGAAGAGATATGTTATGTTCGCCTTGGTTCTACATGCATTTCAGATAAGTTTTCATTAGCCGAAGAGATATGTTATGTTCACCCCGAAGAGATATGTTCTGTTCGTCTTGGTTCCACATGCGTTTCAGATAAGTTTTCATTAGCTGAAGAGATATGTTCTGTTTGCCTTGGTTCCACATGCGTTTCAAATAAGTTCGGCCAATTTAATTCCATCCAATTCTACTCTTCTTGTCTAGTCTCCCCCTGAAGAGGAGAAGTGGGTGGAAAAAATATTTCGATTTCCATGAAGGTGACATCCATAGTAATATAGGTGCGACCAGAAGTAGAATCATAGCATCTATAACCTTTTTGATGAAAAGTATAGCCTAGAAAAAAACATCGACGAGCACAAGGGTCTAGCTTAGTCCATTGGTTTTTATGGAGATGGACATACATTACGCACCCAAATACACGTGGAGGAAGCATCAAGACTGCAAGCACCAGAGTGTAGCCTGAGAGGGCTTGTAATGGAGTTCTAAAATCCAACAACTTAGAGGGCATCCGGTTGAGCAAATGAACGGCAGTGGTGACGATGTTAGCCCAAAATCGATTAGGAGCATAGGAACCAATTAAGAGAGCTCGAGCGGTTTCAAGAACATGGTGGTTTTTCCGCTCAGCAATGCCGTTTTTTTTAGGGGTTTGAGGGCATGAAGTCTCGTGAAAAATGCCATGTTGTTGAAAGTACTCACGAAATTGGTGATTGACATATTCACCACCATTATCCGATCGAAGGACCTGAAGCTTAGCAGAAAATTGTGTTTGCACCGTAGCATGGAATGATTTAAACACACCGAGTACTTCATCTTTATGTTTGGGCAAATACAGCGAAGCCATGCGAGTGCAGTCATCAACAAACTACACAAACCATCTGAAGCCAGATACAGTAGTAATTGGGGAAGGACCCCACACATCAGAGTGGATCAAAGCAAATGGAATATCTTTTTTATTCAAACTTAATGGAAAAGAAGCCCTATGACTTTTTGCTAATATGTAAGTTTCACATTGAAAATCAAAATTATTCAACTGAGAAAATAAATCTGGATGTCCTAACCGATGGTGCCAAAGCCAAAGTTCATTTTCTTTGACACCAAGAGAATGATGCGTATGATGTGCTTGGCCCACACTCACGTCTTCCATATAGTAGAGTCCCCCGCTCTTAGTACCACGCCCAATGATCTCCTTCGTTAGAATGTCCTGGAGAAGACAGAAAGTAGGATACATTAACATCATGCAGTTAAGATCAGAGGTTAGTTGGCTCACGGAGAGAAGCTTATGAGATAAAGATGGAACAAGTAAAGTGTTATGCAGCTGTAACATAGGAGATAAGGCCACAGTGCCCACTCCAGTGATCGGAGAGGTAACGCCATTAGCATTGGCAATATTCGTGCGTTTTGGTAGGAAAGTCGTGATGAAATCTATAGCAGAAAACGTCATATGGTCAATGGCGCCGGAGTCCAAGAGCCATGCACCACTATTAGCATCATTAGTCGAAGTATAACAAGCAAAACCAGAGTTACCTGAGTCTGGAACCAGTGTCATCTATGGTGTGAAGGAGAGTTGAGGTTCGGCAGTAACCACGGTTGTTTGACCAGAGCCTACATCCTTAGTGCCAAGGTCACGACCCTTCTTAGCCTAGAGATCATTCCACCAATTAGGATACCCATGCAGTTTAAAGCAAGTGTCACAAGTGTGTCTCGAATTGCCACAATGAAAGCACTTTAAACAGTATGAAGATGCACGAGATTTATGCTTGCCATTGTGCATGGTAGGAGGGTGGGCAGAGGAACCAAGTCTGGGTCCGTTGGTGGCGAGAACAGCACCAGATACACCATTTACACTACCAGTGATCATAACAGATTGACGTAGGGCTTCACGGCGGACATGGGCATATGCTTGCTTCACGGTAGGGAATGGGCACAACTGCAACACGTCACCCCGGATCTTATTGAGTCGATCATCCAGACCATCCAAGAAAACATATACTATGTCTTCTTGAAGGATAAGATTATAATGTTGGATATCAACAGCACACTCCATAGGATTAGGCCGTCGGAAGTCAATCTCACGCCATAAGCCTTGGAGGTCATTATAGTATTTCTCAAGGGAGCCTCTAGCCTGTTTCAACCGCGTCACTTGATGTCGAAGATCATAGACCTGAGATGTGTCATTACCATTGAAGTAAGTGATAGCAATGGAATCCCACACCAACTTAGCCGTAGGAAACCGAATGAAATTCCCTATCAAGGAGGGATCCATGGAGTTTATCAACCAACCTTTGACAATGGCATTGTCCGTACACCATTTGCGAAATGTTAGATATGTCGAAGATGGTTGTGGAATATCACTATTGATATATCCCAACTTGTTTTTGCCAGAGATATACATCTCGACAACTTGGGACCAGAGAGCATAGTTGGTTTCATTCAATTTGATGCCGATCGGAGCAGCAGAGGGTTCGGTGGTCATGGTTGGGGTTTGGACTTTGGTGAGAGCTTCGGTCATCTTAGCCGTGAAGTCAGAGAAGAGAGAATCGGAATGAGACTCACCAATCGGGGGTTCTGTATCAGAGTTTGACGGGCAAGGTGAGGGATGGGAAGTTTAGGGTAGGTGGGTACCAGGGTTAGGCTCTGATACCATGTCAAAAAGTTCTCTATCAATTATATTTTTATTACTATTACAATTCTGTTTTATAAGTATATATCAAGATATATTTTCTATACAGATTTTTCTCCTATAATTACGCTAACCGTATGAAGGAGATAATTTCTTTCCATCCAACTTCCTATAACTACTCTAATTCCTTTAATATACAACTCACGCCAACAATACTTACTCTGGTCTTCTTTAAACCTCTTTTGGGGGTATGTCTCTAGTTTTTGTATAATTAATTTTCTTTATGAAATTTACCTTTTCAAAAAAAACTACATCAGTCATAATAATATTAAATTTTGTTTCCTTTCTTTCATTAATTAGTTATCATCTTCAAAAACTGCTGCCTTGTGTGGTGAGATGAATAAAATAAAAATTGATGACTTTGTTTATCTAGTTTGTCACGTTCTAATTCAATTCCTAGCTACTACCTTTACCGGGTACTAGTTACCGCAACTACTCAGCTACTAATACTATAGCTAGTCTTTGTTAAACATATTTGCCTGTCAGCCTATGTGAATATTTACCGCCGTTGACAAATATACACACTCTGTATACTGTATTATGAAATAAAAATTATACATTTCATAGAAAAATAGTGGAAAATATTGTTGATGCTCGTTTTCGGCACCAACCAATTGTCACGTGGGTTTTGCTCTTTGATGAATTAATGCACGTGATAATGGAAATCTGAAATGAAATAAATGCAGAGCAAACTTTTTAAAGTGGTTCGGATGCTAAGGTAGCAAGTCCTACGTCCACTGAGTTGTATTGATATTAGTGTGGGTCAGGTCGCGAAGCGCACTGACGTACCAAAAGTTATGAAAAGTAAGTGTTTTCTTTTACAAGAGAGAGAGAGAGTCGTTTTTTGTACAAAATGGCCGAATCCCCTTAATGGAGGGGTCTTCTTTGTTTTATATCAAATTGGAGCGTGTAATCATCATTAAATCCATGGGTTGGTGTGGTTGTCAGGGTGTAATCCGGCATTACGTCCCATTTTCCTTTTTCCAAGCTGATTTCGCACGACTTGCTACAGAGGAATGGACGCGTGTGAGCTCCATATTACTTTGCAGATCTGACGTGTGCGTGTTGCCCTGACGGGAGCAAGTCACCCGTAACGTGACTCTTNAATAGTTGTAAGAACCAACAATGACAAAAGATATGTGAAAGAACTTGCCAATGCAGAATGCCCACCGTTGGGCAGCCTAGGGTAATCATCTGGCAAAGGCATCACACATTCATCTCCATTGAACAAAATTCTTCTAGGAAATGCCCATCCTTCTCGGAAAGTGAATGTCCCTGGATCTTTGTGTAGTATCATTTCTGTTTGTACATTCCCTTTATCACCCGCTTGAAGTAACACATCGTTGTAGTCTCGAATCCCCCAAAGCATCCCCGTATCATCTGAAGAAACATGATAGCTAGCAAGTAAGAGAAATAGAGATATCTCGTAAAAATCCAATTATATTCGAATCTTTCTATAACCCAAAACTCATTTATGATACTCGAAACTTTCAGGAAGATAAACTATTACTTTTTTTGTTTTCTTTGATAAGCTATTACTTTATTTTCTTTGGTAAACGGAAAATAATGGCATTTGGCCATGCAGATGCCCATGAGGAGGCTCGAACACCAAACTTTGTGAAAAGAAACTACAAGTCTAACCATTCTAGAAAGGAATCAAATTTGAGATTCCAAGAGAGAATATTACATGCCCGACTTCAACTAGCATATAACATTCCCCTATTGACAATTTTGTGCTTCTAATTATACTAAAGTTGCGCATCAAGGATGAACATATTAAAATGCTCAAAATAGAGCTTTCCACCAATGACTTGTGCTATAAGTAAACTATAAATTTGACAAAAAACTATAAATTTGACAAATGCAATAAGAGCTACTAGCAGGATTAAAATGCATCTTCAGCTACAGAAGAAATTTCTTTTGAATAATAAAAATTGACAGAGTATTACCAGTAACAAAAGGGTTTTGTTTCTAGCTTACTTATATAACCATACTGATCAAGGGCCCTGTAATTGAAGCTGAAAGCCTGTGCTAAACTCTCCAAATTTGGGTGCAACACCACCAAGTTCCAGTTAGAATAATTTTTCATGACATTCAGATTTGTCACTGTCATTTTAACTCTCCAATACTCTTTGTAACTCTGTTTCACATGCCAATGGACGCGAATTGGACACATGTGCTCCGAGCAAATTACTACAGGCGGCGGCGCTTCATTCGGATCATGTTTTTGTCGCAGCAGAGAAGGTGTTTCACCGGGCCTGACAGTTCAGAAAGATTAGTAAATTCTCAACTGAAAGTTTCTGTAAAATGGTAGAGGATGAAGGAGCTAAAAGGAGTAATTACTTCACACATTTTGTGTGGGATAATTCTTGGCAGTTGCAGCTGCATTTGGGGCAAGGAACAATGGTGTTACTATAAAATGCAGATAGAGAAACACAGCATGTTGGATTCGATGATGCTAGGAATTGAGAGTAGGCACAAGTCACATTCCATGTCCCTGCAAAAATACACCAGAAATATGTTATAAAGAAAGAATTCTCTTTTGCGGACGTCTCTGTTTATCTAAATTAGGAATAAAACCTCTATTACAGACAGACATCTTTAGGAAAGTCCTAACGATGAGTCTACTGCTAATTGCATCTTCAGAAGCCTAACTATCACTCTACGTTATACATCAAAGAGTGTCGAATCTTTGGTGTTATAGTTTACAGAAATGCGATAATTAGTTTGCAAGAAAAGAAGAATTTCCTTCTGCGGATGTTTGTATTTTTGCAAAACCTATTTATTATAGAATCATTAATCATTATGTAAATGTGTAGAAAACATTTATTTGTCCATATTTTGTAAAAAGAATGCAAACATTAGTAGGAAAAAACTAATAATTAGTTAATTGTTAATTACATCTTCATAAGTTAGTGTATTGACTTGTGTTCAACATTCAGTGCCTAGTAACCACTCTACGTTATACCTTAGGAGTGTGGAGAATCATCGGTGTTACAGTTTACACAAATGCGAAAACTTAGCTTGCAAGAAAAGGCACAGAATATTTGAAAAAACGAGTCTTACTAAGAGCTTGCGTTCGCCTTCGACTTCCATCTACAAAAAACTTGCTCGGCGCGACCTCAAATGGCTCTCCACAGGAATAACCAGGAAGTCCAAGAGTGAAATTATGAGGCATTACAAAGTCTGAAGAGTTAGTAGAAGCTGCAACATTCATCTGAAAATTTGCACCAAACTTGGAAATGTCCTGTGTCATTGAAGACAACACACCTCCTTTGCAACAATTGGCAGTCTGCAAATTGTAAGGGGCTCCAGGCATAAGATCAATAATCACAGGGCTCTTTTCACAGCAATAAGGCAGCTGTGTGCCGCTGAATTTTGTGCAGTTGCCTTGCTCCGTCGTCTCGGCTCCCCACATATTCCATATCACCTCATCGCCGGTCCAATCCCAGCTCATTCTCCAGCCAGGTTGATCGATATGGCGATACAATTGGTAGTTGAATAGAGATACTCTTACCTGCATATTATTATCAAAATTTGCGTCATGAAAACTGAAGTTTGCTTATCTCCAATTTGGGCAAACATTTGATAGGATCCAGTTCCATGGTTGATCCCTAGACGAGGAAAAGTCACTAATACCTCTAAGATAATGACGTGCTGAACAATGGTTCGAAATAAAACTAGCCAAAACAAAAACAAGAAAAGGTTAAGATGTTGTTTGTAACGTTATTCTCGTCTTTAACCATAGATTATGGTTCAGTCAACTTAGAATTAGTCTAAAGATTAATACCGAAATAACGTTACCTTGGATACAGTAAAAATCCATTAATTAGGGAAGTCAAATAAACTTTATAGCCACCAACCTCTCATGATCCAAATCCAAATCTTAAAATATAATTTGTTATCAGCAATATGACCTCTCATGATCCAGAGACAGAAAGGGAAAAAAGAATAATAAACGATAGAATAATGAAGAAGAAAAAGAGAGAGAATTACATCACTGGCATCAGGAGTGGATTGCATAAGATCCCATTTAATAGTAATATTGGCATGAGGATCCAAAGGATCAAACCCATCTGCAAATCACCAAAAAAAAATAATTCAAAACCATATTAACAAATATACATTTACAACATCAAAAAATAAAGGAAAAAAAAATCTTACATGTAGGTGATATAGAACTGATCACAGAATAAAAGAAGATCAAAACCAAAACTACTCTCATCGATCTTTTGATCCAAGAACATAAACGGGTTCTCTTTAAATCTTCTTAAACTAATTAAAACTCAATGATTTTTTACAAAAAAAAAAAAAAAGAAAGAAATTAGAAAAGGTGGCAGGCTTTGTTTTTCTTTTGGTTCGCTTTACTCAACTGAAAAGAGACAAGAAAAAGATGAGTGATAGAGTATATTTGTCTGCAAAAAAAAGAAAAGAAAATTGAAATATAAATAATTAATGGAAAGAGAGAAAAGTTGGTTTGTTGCATGAATTTTGCCATATTTGGCTAAGAATGAGTCTGCATATTCAATTAAGAGTATTAATTAAAATTAATTGTTATTCAAAGTACACGCGTTTTCTATGGCCAGGCATTTGGGCGTGCCGTTTGGATTTCAGCCAGGCCATTAATTTCATAAACTTCAACATTTTTTTATTTATAAATTCAAAATTGCTTGTTGGACTTGGATCAATTGATCTGGATAAAACATGATATATTTGACTTTTCATAAGGTGATTCATGTATAAAAAGACATATTTGACTTAGTTAAATTAAAAAGTAAAAAAAATAATTTAATTGTGAAAGTAAAAAAAATAATTTAATTGTGAAAGAGAGAATAATTTCAAATTTCATTCAATTCTCTCTCTCATCATTAAGTGTGAAAATAAAATTTCAATGAGATGTGTTCAAAACATTGGATTTGTTACCAAAATTCAATATTTTAATTTAATTATATGATAAGAGTTATTATACACTTTATTGATGCCAACAATTTTAAGTTTAATTATAATCAAGACATTTGTGATAAAAATTCAATTTCAAACAATATCTTTATTGTGCCGAAAATTGCTTCCAATACCTTATTTCGCTCTCCGGATTCCATAGTTCTCTTCGAAATCAAACAATGAATAATGCTTTTCTTTTGAAAAATTAGCACTTATTAATAAAGAAAACCATACCAAACGAAATACTAACACTTGGATTACAATGGTTGGCTTAATTGAATTTTAAGTTGTTTGTGCATAGATAAAATAATCTCTTGCACAAAATCTATGAACATTTTGTTAGAGTAAGTTCCCTAAAGCCAATCAATTATTATAAATTTGACTCTTTGTAATAATGTTTATTTATTAATAAAAGGCATATTCATCTATATCGTGTAAATCATAGTTATATGTAATGATATATATCCTTAGGATGGTAGAATTGAGGGTATCAAGTGTTTCAAATCTTGATAGTGAGAATCCTATGATCACATATGATGGTCATTCTAGAAATGTCCGTAGCCCCAGTTTTATTCAAACCAAGGACACAGATATTACAGTAAGACTATCATAGTGTTGAAAGACCTTGTCGAAAGATAGTGACTAATCTCACTTGTCAAGGTTATTTGCCGACAAGTTGGTACAACACATAGGTGTTCGCTGTGGGCAAATTTACTGGGCAGACCTACCAAAGGATTCCATATAGATGGTAATGTTAGTGTGTGCCCTAGGAACCAATCGTATTGTCGGTTTCAGGACATTATATCTTGTAAATGTATTATGAATAAAAGAAAGTGTTCTTATTTCACATATTGATTTTTTGCTTCATTTATATTATATTACATTTAATATTGTATGTGAAATGTCCAGATGACACGGATCTTCAGAAGATCAAATCATCAAAGAATTCCCTACGCAAAAAATGTTAATTGGGCAATAACATTGCATACTAGACATGTTGAATGTCTCCATTGAATATCATGTGATGGTATTAGTGTGGGTGATTATAAGAGGTATGTCATTAAGGCATTAGCATAGATAAACGGTTAGTGAACTGTTTATCGAATACGACCGATTACGATGAATCACATGGATGTGGTCAATGATGCATCATAGGGTCGTACTAGTGTACCACTGATCCTTAGACCTGAGACATCACAGTTGGATTCAACATAGGATGCATATGGTTCATATTATGTATAAGCACAAGACTAGTCATGTCTTGTGTAATAAGCCGATTTGGTCATATGTTATTCATGTATGAGGACAAGTGATGGTCAAGATGGGATCCGTTAACTCAAAATAGTCCAATCTCGAGTTCCCAGACGAATGTCAATAAACATTGGAAAAGGGAAATCTCTAGCCAAAGTATAATGAATGTCAGATGAAAAGTAGTTTCATGTTAACGAGTTCCATTGTATCGATTGACAATTCGATTAAAGATTAAGTTAAAGGTTTTGACATATCATGAACCATTCTTAATCGGGATTAGATAACGGAGGGATTTGACTACACAGTACGTACGATCAGAATGAGTTCATTGGAGTTTACACTTCATTGTGGTTTAAGGGTTATGGAACATTGCTAGACGTCTACCATAATCAGTGGGAGTTTCGATTATAAAGAATTATAACGAAACATATCAAAATTAGATATTGGGCCCACGACTAGATCACAGTGAACCAAAATGGTCTCACATAAAACCAAGCTTAAGGAGTGAGAGTAATACATATCATTAATTAGATTAATGATATTTGGACATAAACGGTTACATCCGAATTAATGTATTGGTGAGAAATGATTATCCATAGATAGCTAGCACTAACCAAGGGTAATAAGGATTTGTTAAATATTATTATTGAATTGGATTCAATGATGGGGGCAAAAGTGCATTGGTTTAATGGTTTTATTCTAAAGGGTTAGAATATTTAATGGAATTAAAATTTGGTCTAATTATGAATTAACCATGAAACCAAGGACTTGACATAAATGTTAATTCTAAAGTTAATTTTAAATTGTTTGAGGCCTTCCCAAAACAATTTAAAATTACACTTTGTGCCCATGGTATATAAATTAAGTATTATACCATTTTAATTCAATTGAAACAAAAAGCAGTCTCTCACTTTCTCTCTCACTCTCTCGACTCTCTCTCATCTTTGGCTTGGGTGGATTTCATTTTGAGTTTCTTCATTCTCTTTTGAAGAATCTAGACTCCAAGTTTCAACATCAAGCTTTTAATAGCAAAAAGAGTTTGTAATTTTCTATCATTTTCTTACATTAATAAGTTCATGTTTTAATTATTTGTTTTCTACCTTATGTCCATCATCTTGATCATCATTTTCTCTTTATTTCCATGTCCAAAATGCTTGAATCTCAACAGGTAACCCCAGTATCAATTGAATAAATCCTTTAACGAATGGTGGTGCATGTGATCCTTAGACTTTAGATTACCAGAGCACCTTGTGCACCGATTAAGGTAGTTTGACACTAGCCCAACGTAGTTCTATGCAAAGCTATCAATACGGTAGTGATTGGCTACATCGAGGAGTGTATTGAGACTGTGGTGGATTAATAAAGAATTCATCACTCCTGAGTACGGGAGAAGTTATCTCACTGCGCAATTTAGTAAATGGCAATGACACTAAATCTGTGGCCACAGTGAGATTGAGTTGTTGCTCAATCCAGTTTATTTATCCTGTGTCACGACCGGGGCTTATCCTCTATCTCGCCACCTTTGGCTTTAGCCCAATGGTACTCATGTTACTTGGCCAAGGTATAAGTCCAAGGTTCAAGTCATGGGGGAGGCATTTGCAAAGTGGAAAAAATACCACAAAGTGAAACAAAGCCGTGAGGGTCCGAAGAAGGCGTGGCCAGAAGGACTTATTGCGAACAATACCTTAGACGTATCTAACGCGCGAGGAAAGCCTTTGAGTTGAAGGTGGCGAGATAAAAGATAGCCCTCGGTCGTGACAATAAAAAGGTGCCTTTTCATTGTCACGACTAGGGACTATCCTCTATCTCGCCGCCTTCGGCTCAAGGGCTTTCCCCGCACGCTGGACACGTCCACGGTATTGTCAGCTATGGGTCCTTCTAGCCACGCCTCCTTCGAACCCTCATGACTTTGTTTCGCTTTGTGGTCTTTTTTATTGTCCAGCGTGGGGGAAAGCCCTTGAGCCCGAAGGTGGCAAGATAGAGGATAGCCCTCGGTCGTGACATCCAATCATTAGTCTAGTAACTGAATACAAAGATATCGAGAATAACTGAGGTTGACACTATTTCTGTACCTCAGCCTCGATGAGATAACGTATAATGAAAGAATTTGATTGCTCGGTAATCATATCGTTGACAGGTAGCTATTTCGCTGAATCTGAATCTATCGGGTGGCCATGATGCCTTGCTAGGGGCCAATCTTGGTCTGTGTATAGTGAAACAATTAATTCATGTTAATCACGATACTACTCACTGCCGATATGACAAGGAGCATACGAATCACACACTTAGAAGATAATTTAAGAATCAATTTGTGAAAGGGGTATTTTCATCTTTTAAGATGAAAGGGTATTTTAGTAATCTCATAATGCAATTAAATTTGCTGAGATTGTTTCCTGTATTTAATTTTTAATTCATTGATTTTAATAATAATAATAATTATTATTAATTAAAATTTAAAATACCAATTAAAGGGTGGTTCATTGCAAGGTGATGGGAATGCAAAATGTCATATTTAACCCCCTTTTTGAAACAACTCATAAAGCACAAAATGAACAAGTAAACCCATTCGCTTAGTTTTAACAACTTGGTAAAAGGTAAAACTTTCAGTTACAATCTAGTGGGGATTGTTACTTCTACTAGTTATAATTAATATTAGATTGTAATGTTATGTGTAAAATTAAGAGAACTTAAAAGACATAATAAAAAGGATAGTCTCTTTTATTGAATAAAAGCACACATCCTATAAAAGAGTTTATTGATGAATGACTTATTGAAGGGTTTAATTAAAGTATATGACCTATGTACGGTGATGAATAGGTACAATGAAGAGTCATAACCTATGTGAAAGGTTGTGTAAAATAGTATAAATAGAACAATAGAGTTTATTCCGACACAGCTTTGAATCTCTCTGATTCCTTCTACGATTGTCTCTAAATTTCTCTCCCAAATTTTATCCTTTCTCCTACATTCATACAGTTTCTTACTGCTATTGTACTATTGTTGTATCCTGAGGTAATTTGCCTCAAATCTTTT